ATTAGTATATATTATTCTACAAGATTAGAAAGTTCCCCACCGTTAATATGGGTATATATATACATGCTAGTGTACGTGTATAAAATATGCGTATACTAGTCACCCATATTATGTTTTTTTTAATATGTTAATGTTTTTATATTATATTAAACCTTATGTACCTAATTAATAATATTGGAATAACTCATCAAATGACCTCTATAATTAATGAGGATGTTTTTCTTTTTTGAAGACTTACGTAGTTGCGTTTAGTTGAGAAAGTTATGTAATAATTCTGACTATTCAAAAACGATTTCAATGGTTAAGGGATAATTGTTTTTTTTAGAAGTCTCAAATACAAACACGATATCTACATGAGTATTTAAACATTTGTTGTCAAATAATTAAAATTTTCTGAACATATATTATCTTTTATTCGTCTCTTATAAATAAGAAAAAAAGATAAACTACACATTTAATATCTAAACTATCAATTTTGGTCCGTTTTACTACCTAAACTTTCCATTTTTTTTAAAAAGATATTTAACGTTTAGCTTTTATTTCAATTTAATACCCTGACATTGAAAACATAACGTGTTTAGTACATAAACTATCATTTTTGGTCCATTTTAGTACCTAAAATTTTAACTTTTTTCAAAACTCAACTTAAATTTTGAACATAGTATTGAAATGAAACAAAAACTAAAGTTTTTAAAGGCAACAGCGAGGTACTGAAATGAAACAAAAAATTATAAAGGGTCAACTATGTAGATAGTCCCCTATGTTTTGGGTTTGACCGATTTTGATCACCAATTTAAAAATTAAGGGGAAATGATCCCTAACGTTATCGACTCGTTTGATTTTATCCCTCAATCATTAATTTTTGTTAACCCCTTTTGTTTGAGTCCCTAACAAGACTGGAGGACTAAAATTAAATGGATTGATAATGTTAAGGACTCTAATTGAACGAATCAGTAACGTTAGGACTATTCCCCTTTAATTTTTAGATTGATGACCAAAGTCGGTTAGACCGAAAACATAAGGAACTATTTGCATAGTTTATCAAAAACTAAAATTTAATTATAATTTTAAAAAACAAAAATTGATAGTATAATATTAAATACGTAATTTGTATTAATAAAAATAATACGTCAAAGGCATATAAAACCCTAGACTATATGCTCTGCGTTGAGGTTACGTGGATCAAAGAATTGATTTGACATTAGTGATTCGTGAGCCGAAAATCTTGTTTCTTTTTTTCTCTAGGCCAATTTGAAGTACCAATGGGACAATTGTGACCAGCAAGAAACTCTCGTATCACCCTCACTCTCCATTAATCGCAACGTGCTCTTCACGCGCCTTTATTATAAAGGCACTTCCTAATAACATATATTTTCGTTTCTTTCTCAATTGGGTAAAATATAAAATATAAAAAAGATTTGATTATGTTATGACAAATAAAGAAGCTTATCCACCAGCTTTATGCTACAACCGTCTTAATTATATTATTATTATTATTATTATTTCAATTTCCCATTCTGCATAAAATTTTATAATGCTACTTTATAAATAAAAATAACAATTAGGACATTTTTATTGGAAGTGAGTATATATATATATGTGTGTGTGTGTACTATGAAACTTTTGAAGACTAAGAGATCCACAATGATTGTTTTCATGTATAAATTGCTGCTAACTTAATAAACTATTCACAAAAATGAAGACAGTATATTTATATGCACATTTATATTTTTTTTCTAAAATTATTTTATAATTTTTCATGATGAGCATAGTTAGGGATGATAATTTTACCTGCGTCCAACGGGTTTTGACTCGATTCGACTTGATTGGATCAGTTTTTTTTTAAATATCGGGTTGGGTCAGATTTGTTAAGAGGTGAAGTCAGGTCAAATTGGATTCGAGTAGAATGTGAAAAAACTTTGACTCGACCCGACTCGATGATCATAATGTAATTTTCTTAAAAATTTAATTATTTTTAATTAAATCCTTAATTTATACTGGGTCGGGTCGGAGCCGGATCGAATTTATGCACATTTATATTTTTCTAAAATTATTTTATAATTTTTCATGATGAGCATAGTGTACGGACTTGTGTATATTCACCATTCTCATGCTTCCTCCTTTTTAATATTACAAAAGACACCCATGCTATTATTTCTTTGATCAAACCCTCCAACTTAGGGATGGAACTAGAATCAAACATTGAGGGGAGTCTATTATTAAAAAAAAAAGATCTATTAAATTTTAAATCTAAAAATTAAGAGGTACAAAGATCTTATTTAACTAATAATTAAAGTAAAAGGACCTATATTGTCTTTATACCAAGCAGTTTCGACCTTGCTCCAACCCAAACATTAAAGGTTATCAATAGGATGAAATAGGGATGGATTTAGGCCGGACGTGTCGGGTGAGGATGGTTATTTCCCCCTGAAATTATAAAATTATCATATTTTTAAATTTTTTCTATGTATTTTCTGTTGAAAATATTTTATTTTTCTTTTAAAATTTTATGAGTTCAAATTCATCCCTTAAAATTTTATAAATTCATGTTTACCCAATATAAAATTTTGCTCTGCCCTTGAACAAAAGGTTAATGGAGACTACAATCTCTCTAAGTTTTTTAAAATTTTATATAATTTAAATGTATTGTACTTTTGATTAATAATTTATCTCATTCATTTACTTTATACCTTTGATTGACTTATATATTGGAGTTTGTTTAAGAGTCTTTTAGAATTTTCTTTTTTTTGAAAAATTATATAATATACACATTATTTAAAGTTTAAAGTATAACTTTAAATAAAATCCTTGACGTTATATAACTCTATTTATAAAATGATTTTCACTGTTAATTTATGAAATAATATATATATATATATATATATATTTATAATTTTAAGATTTAAACTTTAACTTTTACACGCTTGTAAATGCCGTCTTCTTTTTTCTTTATAGCTTCAAGGCCAGAAGAAAGATTTAAAATTAAATAAGTAAAATTGTTGTCACTTTACATGCTAATTACACCCGATAAAATTGATACATATTTTTTCTATTTCATGACTTTTCTTTTGTGAAAATAGCATATGGTCCGATTCTTTTGTTACGCCATAGTTTTGTTTTTCTATTTTTTATTTATTTATTAATACATGTAAGTACTAGTGGCGGATCTAGAAATATTTCTTAAGGGGGACATATGTTAACAACATAAAATTTCTAAATTGGATGAGTACAAATAAAATTTCAGGGTGAGCACGCGCCCACCCTGACTAAGATATGACTCCGCCACTAGTAAGTATAAGGTAGTATTTGTTCAAGACAACTCTCAAACCAACAATAAGTATGTCTAGTAAGCTGAAACACTAGGTTCCTTAAGCAAAAATCGAGAGTTTGAATCATGATATTTGTGAATAAAGCAAACTTGATTGGGAGGAATGTTATCCTCGCCTTGTAATATTCAAACCAAATAAATCGATTAATAAATAAGTTTACCATTTATGTATGAATGTATGTCATACATTTATACATAGTAAGAGGCTTCATTGACCAAGGTATAATGATATATTATACCAATTTAATGAAAATGGGACCTGTAATTTCAAATAAAATAAGACGAAATAGTTAGTTTTGCCCATAATAATTGCACCCATGATTTCCTAGAAACAACATAATTAAAATCAATTGGTTAGGCTTTCATTTTCGGTTATTTAACCTACAAACATATTTAATAGAGTAATATATGTAACCTCTTAATCAACTAGGTATATTAAATAAGAGTCAATCTTTAGTTTATTAGTCATATTACATGGCTTCGAACGAAATATTAAATTATTGTTAAAAATTAATTAAATAGGGGCTCTAACTCCTTAACTTTTTTCCTCATACTGAAATTGAAATCAAAACATGTAATGTATAGCATTCAGTTTTTAGAGAATACATGTCTTAAAAGGAACATAACTGATGTTTCCCTTTAAGGAGGAACAAATTAACTATACAATAGATTATATATATATACACTGTAGTACTTCATAAAATATACACTGAAAGGAGGGGGAGAGAAAGGGCCATCCAGGATGCTATCGGAGACGGCAAGAGTGGGACCCCACGCGCCGCTGCTGTTTTGGCCACTTGCTCCTCCGGTTCTCCCATTTGTCGGTCTCTTTGTTTATAAACCAAACTTGGTCAACTTGTGGAGAAGGTAACCATGGTTAAGTCCAAACTACAATGAACGTTAACATCTAATCACCTAACATCTCAATCTAATCCAATCCTTCACCACCGTCTAATTCCGGATACAAGTGAATAAGATTTAGGGTAAACTACACGGTAATCTTAAACTATCAGTTTTAATATATAAATTTTTATTTTTTTTTTAAAATTATACCTAAATTTTAAATTTTTTTTATTTTAGTATCTCACCGTTAAAAGTTTTAGATTTTGTTTCATTCTAGTACTCGGTTCAACATTTAACGTTAAGTTTTGAAAAAATAAAAAATTTAAATACTAAAACAAACCAAAATGATAGTTTAAGTACTAAATGTATTAAGTCCAAGCGGTAAACAATATCTTGAGTTCGAGTCATTATATATGTAGAAAAACTTTATTGAAAGACTCATCTACTAAAACTAAATATACGACACTAATCACCTACTAAAAAATAATATAGCACCACTGTTTATGCTCCACGGTCGACAAAATGAGAGTGGGGTTGGCATACGCCAACTTGACATCTAAAAGAACAGAACTAATAAAAGATTTTCTCAACCAATTCATAGTACATGGAGTATTTATTAGAAATAAGAAAGAAAAAAGGACTGCGTTTTTATAAATAAATTTGCTTTTGTCCCATCTTCTCCTTCCTTTCTTCTTCTTCTTCTGCTGCTTCTACCCTTTCCTTTGCCTGCACTCCTTCCTTTAAAAAAAATGGAAAACCCTTCCTTTTCTTAGCTATCCAAATCATTTTCTTCCATAAGTCCCCTACTTTATAATTTTTTTCCACCTTAGACAAACCCCATCTTAGACAGCTTTTAATCTAAAATCTAAATTAATCCATAAATTATATACTATTAACCCCATATTTTTTAATTACTAATTTTTAATTTCAATCCTTTGTTGTTTCCTTGTTTTGTGTTGTCTTTTTGATGCTGCCATGGCCGGTCTTGATTTAGGAACTGCTTCTCGCTATGTCCATCAGCTCCACAGACCCGACCTGCATCTCCAGCACCAACCCGAACCCCAAGATCATGAAGCTTCCCAAAACCGTGTTGGTGGTGGTGCTCAGTATGGCTCGGTCGATCATCACCAAGACGATGAGTCGACTCACCAGGGCCTGGACTTGGTCAATTCGGGTCCAGGGGGTGACCTTGTTTCTCGTAGGCCGAGGGGTCGTCCTCCGGGTTCCAAGAACAAGCCGAAGCCACCGGTTATCATAACAAGGGAGAGTGCCAACACGCTCCGAGCTCACATTCTTGAGATCGGGAACGGCTGCGATGTGTTCGACTGTATTTCCAACTACGCCAGAAGAAGGCAAAGGGGTATCTGCATATTGAGTGGAACTGGTACGGTGACCAACGTGACCATTAGGCAACCATCGGCAGCTGGAGCTGTACTTACCCTCCACGGCAGATTCGAAATTCTATCACTTTCCGGTTCTTTCCTGCCGCCGCCAGCTCCGCCAAGCGCCACCAGTTTGACAATCTTCTTGGCGGGCGGGCAAGGTCAGGTCGTAGGAGGGAGTGTGGTTGGTGAACTGATGACCGCGGGACCTGTTATCGTCATAGCTTCGTCGTTCACAAATGTGGCCTACGAGAGACTACCTTTGGAAGAGGATGACCACCTGCAGATGCAAAGCGGCGGCAGCGGAAATAACATGTTTTCTGATGCCGGAGCCGCCCCAGGTGGGTTGCCTTTCTTGAATTTGCCCTTCAATATGCTGCCTAATGTCCAGGTACCAGTTGAAGGATGGCCTGGAAACTCAGGTGGTAACAGGCCTCCGTTTTGAGAGCTTTCCAACGGTGGAAACGGGGAGCCTTGGATCATTAAGGTCAGCAAATTTCATGGACTAGTTATCATCATCATCATCATCATCTTCTTCTTCTTCTTACACTCGCTCTTATGTTGAAGTTAATTTTAGGTTTTGTTTTCTTAATCCTTGGGATTTTTGGAATCTATGGTTTCCTTGTTCATGGTTTGATATGATGTATTAAGTATTAACTTGTGTCGGCCACTATGATCAGCCACTGAAGTTTCAGTGTCCATCAATTAGGGTTTCCCCTTCATCTTCTCCAAAACTGCATATCACTTCTTCCATTTCCTATATACAGTAGTACCCAACAGACATAACAAAGTGCTTCAAACTCGCAAACAAAAATCTTGAACATGGGATTGTGTTAATTCATTTGCATTGTTTTCAGGACAGAATATTATAATTAGGATTTCATAACCCATTGTATTCGAAATCTTTCTTAATTATTGATATCACATCCTACGCATACAATACAACTACTGAAATTCGAATTTTCTAACCTATGAGTTGTGGATAATATATATCTTAAAAGCTGCTATCTTTATATTCAAATATTATATGTTGTTGTTGGTTAAGGGATCACTACAGTGGGTGAAAGGCTTAAACAGTACTCTTACTTTGATAAACCTAAGCTTTGTTTATCAACAAGATTTTCGGGTTTAGTAACACAATCGAATCTCCTTTTCGTAATGATAATCAATACCAGATTTAACAAATATTATATTGAACATCTTAGAAGCTTTTTTCTTTTTATATTTGAGAATTTTGTTGAGATAAATGGTTTTGTTTATTCATGTTGATGCGGATACCTTGCTTGCCTACGATGATTAAAGCCTTCGACTCACTTTATTAGTACAATTGAATAATGAGCTTCATTACTTGGTTTTATATCAGTTAGGTACTCCATCAGTAGTGGAATATATATATATTAAAAATTAAATGTTGCGAATGACTGAATTTATTCCATAAAACCTAGCTATATAGATTCTTTTGGAGCACGTATCTAAAATTTTATGTTAAGGGTACGATGGCATATCCACATCTATATGAGGTTGGGCACGTGGTCACCTTCAAATCCGAATTTTATTGTGATATTTAAGAATGATTTTTGACAAGTTAAAAGGTAAAAAATGAATCTAGTCGAGTGGTAAAAAATATTTATGCTATTTCATTTTGACAAGTTAAAGATTAAAAATGAATCCAAATCCACATGTATCTGAGGGTGGACACGTGGTGGATTACCCTTGGTTCGAATTTTACAAAGTGGTTCATTTAACTAATTAAAATCCACTACAGAAGATTTAACCTACAAAATGGACTAAGCTAATGGAGTAACACTTTAATGGGTTTTATGATGAAATCTTTTTTTTCAGCTTAAGGGTGAAAAAAGCCCATCAACCTTTTTTATTTATTTATAGAAAATCCATTCAATATCTAGTTTTTTTTTATTCGATTAAATATTTGTATTAAAAAATTGAAGCAACTAAGATCATTAATTTAAAAAAATATCAATTAAATTGTTTAATCAATTCTAATCACGAAATTTTAATGGTTTTATCGTATAGGGTTATCATTACTACGTCACATATTATGATGTTGTCATGTGGTATTTCTAAGATTTTTAAAAATTATTTAAATTTTTAAAAATTGAAATCATTTTAAAATAATAAAATGATAAAAATTTTGTATAACTAGAACAATAATTTCATCAATCCTATCAACTCAACTCAACACAAAGCCATGTAGTTGGTAAATTGGAATCCAATGAGCAAACTTCAGCCGATTCTAAAAATACAGAGAAATTGAGTAAATATATTTGGTCGTTTAGTCAATCTGTTAATTTTTGTTCTCTTATATTACTTTAACTCGGGTTCTAGACTCACTAGGAACACTCTTGTTTCTTCTCTAAGAGTCTTTTCTTCTCCTCCCTCTAGATAAGATTATGATCAGATTCAGAATTTATAAAAAAATACAGAAAAAATTTACAAGTCGGCAAAATATAATACATCGAAATAAAATATTCGAATATATGTAACAATATCTTATTTTTAAAAAATAATTAGAGTAATTAATATGTGGTTAATTTCCAGCTCTCTTCTCCATTCTAATTACCTTGAGAATAAAAGTCAAGAATCTCCTCCACATTAAGCTGAAACAGTGAGGAACAATCATTATTCATCAACCAAAGCATGTGCTCAAACAAGATAGCATCCACATCAACCAGCATCACCCTCCTTTTACCATCACTTAGCTCACCTCCATTATCTTTCTTCATCAAAACCCTAAACGGTCTCTCCAACAACACAAAAGACTCAACCAAAAACTCCCTCCTCTCTTTGCCTACCTCACCGCCACTCGTCGGTCCAACTCACCGTATGCATCCTCCTTCGTTAGAGGCCGGTATCCCATGCTACGACGTCGCAGTAACGAGGCCGGCAACACCAAGCAACCCATCATCAAGCTATTTATAACTCGAAATTCCGAAGGGAAAGTGTATATAGTAAAATGTGAGATGTTAATGGCTTAGTATGGTGTGTTATGACTAGATAAATGAACCATTTATATAATTGGGAAAGCGAGGTAGAAGTGTTAGGCAAGTTCCGGTTGAATGGGCCAAGCAACGGCTAAAGAGAGGGGAAAAAGAGGGAATATCTATATGCAAAGCAAGGATAAAGTAGATTAGATTACTATGTATTTTATTGGGTTTTTTAGGTATTAAATGTGAATAACATGGGAAATCGGGATATTACCCGTCGTTTTGAGAAAACGTCACATTCAATTATCGGTTCTTGGATATGAAGTTGGATTATAATTTTTGGAATAATAGAATTTATCAAAAAATCTCATTGAGAAAACATATGTTTTTTTAAAGAATATAAATTGCAACTGCATCTGATTGTAAAATAAATTATGAAATTTTTGGATACTAAAATATATGTATACTTATCAAATTTGTAAACTTGGTTAGGTTTTAATTGGTTAGATTGGCGTAGAAGGTTGAAAACTGAAAATCATATCTGAAATGCGCAGTGCGGTAGGACTTGGGAGCCGACCAACTAGACTTGGTGGCTCGAGACCGAACTTGTGTGGTGTGTTTTGGATGTGGCAATGGCTGGTAGCTTCGATAATGATACATGTCAGTTAACTTTCACATTAACTTTGGATTAGGGATGGCAAACGTAGGGAGCAGGTGTGATACCTCTTTCTTTATTCTCATACCCACCTAATATTTTTATATTGATCAAATCATCACTTACCTATAACTATTAACGGGTAAAATTTTTAAATCCACACTCACTCGCGAGGGTACATTATCAAATCCACTCCACACCCACTACTCAACACTAGATAGTCACTATCAATTCCATACTCGCCTAACAACAACCTCATATATTACATAGACAACAAAATATAAAACAAATACATCCATTAAGAAGCACTTGGTTAAATTACAAGTCATGTCCTATAAAATCTTAAGATTTATAGAATAGTCTCTGAAATTATACCTAAATTTTTAATTGTCTAAAATTTTTATTGTGAGTAATTAGTGGGCGGGCGGATGCGGAGCGGGTAAGGTCTTAAACTCATCACCTACCCACGACGGGTATGACTTTTTACATCCACACCCGCTCAATACCCACTAAACTTGTATCTATCACTGCCTCAATTAGAGCAGGTGCAATACTAAATCCACGAAACTATACTCGTCTACTATTCCTACTTCCATCATTTTCACATTCTTTTTTGAATTTCACGTTGATAATATTATTGAAAAGTGAGGTGTTAACATTAAGAGGACAATTGAAGTGAGGTTTTCACTTCAATCATGTAATTAACAAAACTCTTTCGAGGGGGGAAATGCCAAATGAATCAAGAAACTGAAGCAAAAAGGCTGGCTGCATCCTTTAGGTGGAATGGAGGCTTATTCACCTTATCACCTTCAATACATGAAAGAGAGGCCCATGTTTTCTGGCACCTGACCTCGTATGAGCCGGCCTTGGTATCCACTCTTTTCCCATACCTTCAAAACAAAGTATGACTTCAACATAAACGAACCGCACAGACATTCAGAATACGTGAGAACGTTTTACCTTAAGAAACCGGAGGACATAAATATTGGAACCTGAAATTCCATCTGAATCGGTGGCTTCGTCCAACTCTTATTTTCTGTCATGGTGGAAATCATCTCAACTTCTGCACTCAAGGTGGGCTCCGTTTCTCCAGGGAATTTTCTTGTCCTAAAATGTGACATTCAACCATGACCAAATTCAGTGTAAAGATAAAACCGTATATGCACACATGGTAGCAGACGAAAACACTTTCTTCCGAACCAAGCAATCAATACCAGAATTGTACTTTGCTCGACCTGATGTCACTTGGAAACTGGTCTTAGCCGTCTGTTTTGGCATAGGAATTTTGACGATTACTCCGAGAGCAAACATTTTTTTCCGAAGACACTTTTAACCTGAAATATTCAAATAAACACGGGGACAGCAGAATCATGAGCTTCCAATTTCAAAAATCATTGATTAGTATTACAAACCTTAACATTTACTTCCATCCGTGTTCGACCAAGTTCCTTGATGGTCGGCAATACCCGGGAAGGAAGATTAACTCCCTCAGTGATCCGGTATCTACAAAGATGGATGTAAGATTTTATATTAACGGAATGAACTTATAAAATTTTAAGGGATCAAACAGATTTTTCAATCTAAAATTTAAAATTTTATGGGGTCGCCTCCATATCTGGCCTATGCAAAATTTGGTGGCACAAAACTAACAGTCTTTTCAGAGTTGAATTTTGTAAGATTTAGACAATGATGGAAAGTAACATCGTCCAGCTCAATAGTCTTGCCACTAGAACATGTAGCATTTGTAAGAGAGAGAAAAGACCGAACTTAATAGCTAAAATAACCAGATAAATTATTTTAAAAACCATCCTCATTCGTAGTTCCAATACTAAAAATTACCCACCTCATCATGTCATGAATATTTTTTTTAAAAGTAAATATAGAAGTGGGTGGTTACTTGAAAATGGATTAATGACGTGAAAAAGAAAGAAAAAAAGTGAAATTAGGGGTTTTTACTGATTGAGACCATATAAATTGTAATCTAATATGTAATCTTTTAGAAACTTAAATCACTTGAAAGGATAAAAAATGAACAGGAAAAAAGAACCCAGAGGATTATATTGTATATTAACAAAATAAGGAAGCATAGGATGAAAGGTAGAATCCACCTTTTAGTAGGACGGGATTTCATTTGTGATTCTTTTTCAAGATCAATCTTATCATTCAAGCCCAATTTCAGGTCAGGCATTCGAGAGGAAGCACTTCATAAGGATCTTTCCAGTAACATCACAACGCAGAACACAGCCTGGAATCACCAAATGTTTCATTTTCACCAAAACATATATAAACCAACAAACAAAGCCACTTCCAATACCATTACCAACCTTTTGAAGACATAAGTAAGTTTACACTTTCCACAATGTCTAGAAACACCTGAAGCAAATAGATGTTAAACCATAGGAACCAAGAGGAAACTGACAAAATACAGAAGAACGATTACCTCATTCTTTTTATAAACAAGTCCCTCTCTTCTCCAGCCAACAGCACCTGTAACTTGCAATGTTGCCTTTGGAATAGGCTTATCTGCCTATTCATTTTTTATACATAGTCAAAGCACAATAACCCTACAGCTTCAGTATGAGTATTTCTTACAAAATACAACGTACCTTGGATGAGAATGGGGACCGCACATCCTTCTTGAGTAATGTAATGCTTTAAGATTTCGGGAGAGAGATTTTGTGGGTGGCCAAAGTCCATGATTTCTGCAATGAAAAATTGCAGAACTGAAACATTTTAATCATTTAAATAACATTTGAACTCAAATTTAATTATTATTTTTTCATCCTTCCTTTCTGTAGAAGAAACACCTAAAAATGAATGCCATGCATAGAAGTTAAGATGCAACCTAAAAGAAACAAACTGCATCACTTAGTTGCCAGTAAAAGAATTAGTTGATTCTGCAAATAATACTCGTATGTTTCAGTTGCTTATCATGTCAATATAATTAATCCGTGTAACAACAAGAACGTTAACTGAACACATAAGAAAACAAGCCAGAAGATGCATGTGGAAGGAGAAATATTCAGCTGTGGTTGAATATACATACCATCCAACAATTCATAAATCAGAACGAAATTATTACGAATTGGATATTCATCAAAACCACCGCCAAAATAAGATTTAAACATAGCAACAGCCTACAAAAGGACCAAAATACCAGCATCAACTACTAGAGGAAGAAACAAAAAATGGATTGCACCTTATGATAGCGAAATACCAGCATCAACTACTAAATTACGGCCGCAACACAGTGTGACTGTTGCATAACGTTTTTTAAGATCACCTCGACCGCATCCATAATTTAAGGACTAATTGCTTTTAAGAAATAAATCATGTTATAATGTCAACAGTATCCGCAACAATGACACCGCAGTCGCATCTACAACCGAAACCAGTGTTATTAGTTAAAAGAAGACTAGTCTTTGATTGCCTCAACAACAAACTTGAAAGCAAAAGCCACATTAGCATTACTGCTGACAACAATTACGATGTATACATTGCTGATTCTCATGTAAAAGAACGAGCAACATCCAATCTGTCGTGCCGGACACGTACCCAGTTCTTTCGTTTGCATAATGTGCTTTCGGAAAGCGTCCACCATATTTCTCCTAATCGATAAATTATACGAATCAAATCATTAAAGGAAACAAAAGAAGCAGCAGCATTCACGCTAAATTCAAACACAGCTAAATAATTCGAGATACCCGACATCATCACGATAGAGACGATTGATGAGGACATCACCCCGGAGATTCAAGAAGTAGATGGCGGAAGCGGCCACCGGCATCTTGGATCCATTGGATCGGGTCGCATGTTGAATGAAATGGATCGATGGTGGTGGCAGAAGCAGGTGACGGAGACGGCTCTGGATAAATAAAGAACGTCAGCATTCAATAGTATTTTTTGTTTAATATTTCGTAGCATAATGAATCAGAGTTGCGGAGGAAATGGAATTTTAGATAGCGCCAATGGTAATGATGGGCCCCTGAACTTTAGAGTTTGTTCTAATATGGCCACTATATTTTCAAAATATCCATGTGATACCTGAAGATTGAACTCCGTTGCCAATCTGGTCCCTGGCCCTAGCGGTGTTAAAATCTGACATCAATTGAGACGCGCAGTAATAGGATATTACCACACGTCAATTTTGTATTTTGACATGCCAACTAGTCCATCATTTATGTTTATAGGACTAAAACACAATAAACATTAAAACAATTTACTTTTAACGGAAAAATAAAAGGGTCAACCAGACCTTTAGTATCTAAATTGTTTTAGCATCTAAACTTTTAATATTTTTAAAATTATGTCTAATGTTTACTTTTCATTTCATTTTAGTATCTTTCATTAAAAATTTAACACGTTTAGCATCTAAACTATTAGTTTTGGTCCGTTTTAGTACCTAAACTTTCAAATTTTTTAAAACTTGACGTTAAATTTTGAACCATGGTACTAAAATGAGACAAAAACTAAAGCTTTTAATGGCGGGTAATAAATGAAACAAAAACTAAACTTTAGGTATGATTTTGAAAAAAATAAAAGTTTAGGTACTAAAACGGATCAAAAATGATAATTTAGGTACCGAAACGGACAAAAATGATAGTTTAGATACTAAAACGACCAAATCCGATAGTTTAAATACTAAACGCATAATTTTTCCAAATAAAAGTTATAAGATATGAGTAAATTACATAAATGATTCTTGATATATTTGAGTAAATTTTTTTCTCCACTTAAGTTTATGAAACATAAGTCATAATAAATTAAGTACCTATCATCACCATCCATCCACCCTCGTCCTCCAAAAGCACCACCGTATAACCATCGTTCACCCAGCTGGAAACTGGCTTCCTTGAGGTTATAGTCGTACAGGTGAAGAAAGTTTCCTGGGTGTTTGCTTATGAGTGATCTTCATGTAGGTAAGGTTAGCACTATGGACATTCCGTCACTTCCTTCACCCTCCAGTGGGCTAGGTCCGGTGTGGAACAACCTAGATTGCATTGGTAATAAAGGCCAGCACTATGTGAGTTCCATGGTGACTGGGGATTTGGTAATGGAGCAATAGAGTTCCTGGTAAATGAGTTCTTTCTCAATGGCGCAGCTTGCTTTCGACTAAACATACCCTTGTTAATTTCCATGGAGAGTTTTATTATCAAGAAAGCAAAAGGAATTTTTTTTTGAAAACTAGGGCCCAACCGGGTTCGAACCGGTGACCTCTTGATCTGCAGTCAAATGCTCTACCACTGAGCTATAGACCCTGTTGATTGCAGTGTGAAGAATTAAATTTATTTATTTATTTAAAAAGAAAAAGGAAAAAAACTAAAAAAGGGGCAACCTGGTCAGACCCGATGACCCCTTGATCCGTAGTCAAATGATCTACGACTGAGCTCTGGACTCTTCTTCTAAGAAATCCTTAATAAAGTATTTATTTTCAGGTTTTGTATACCATTAAGAAATATCCATAGTCCATGCATGTGTTAGTGTACGATCAAACTCTTAAAAGCAACTTTCAATGTAGGTGACCTGTCCTGGTAATACAACAGGGGAAAGTGACGAATGGTATTGAAAAGAATACATCATTACTTCCAAATTCTGATGTGCTCCAGCATGGCTGGATACATCATTTTGTTTGGAACATAAGAGAGAACAATGCTTGGAATGGGTACACTTGACGATATGAATCGTTCGAAAAATAAACATATTCGTTCTGTAACAGATCTATTACACGACCAATTTAAATTGGCTATCAAGATTCAACCTCCAGGTTCAATCTTCAAAAGTGATTTAGCACCATGGGTTCATTAAAGTAAAACAGTTCTGTTACCATATACCCACAATCTAGTTAAAACAAAGACACACCAATCTTAATGGAACCTAACCAGTGAAGGGGTTGCTGCAACTTTATTATTTATCACTCCAAGAACCAACATTAAAAGGCGCCGTCTCAGAGTCCCCTTCTAAGCTTCAAAATGTCCCAAATTGTCTTCTTCCAAAACCAATTTCCCACCTGCAAATTGGAGCTTGGCTTAAAGTTTCATGCCTTACATCTTTTGCTTCCTTTTTCAAAAATGTTTCATGTAGTTGAATGAACCAGGTTGGTCATAGCCTTCACTGCCATAGAAGTTCATGTCATTTGCATGACCAATGAGACCAAGAACATCAACTTGTTCGGTTTCCCCGAAATTCGAGTACAATGAACTAGGGGAGAAATTGGTATGTTCATATTGCTGCCATGGGGTCAATGAGCTTGGAAGCTCATATTGTGGGAAGTATTGAGTGGCTGCTTCACATATTTGTGGGTAATCCTGCCATAAGCCAACAGAGAATTGTTAGAATAACCTAAAGAAACCGGTTTGAATGACATTGTTTTTTTCTTATTTTAAAATAAGTTTTCTACCTTTGAAGAATCGAGAATTAGATCAGGTGAGAGCCAAACGCTGGCCGGATCGATATCGAGAGAAGCTGGCTGAAATGGTGGGAGGTGTGTGGTTTCATGAGCAGGAGAAGTAATAGGGCTTGAATAATGGCTCTCGCTGTTGGGGTAACTTGTTTGACAAGAAATGTCACCAGAAGTACTCGAGGGCTCATTGCAGACCCTTGTTGATGCATGTTCGATATTAGTTGACCTGGTTCCGACCATAATGGGTTTCGGTTCTCCATGCCCATCACGCTTCTTCGGTTCGTTTCTTTTCACGATACGGCACAAGGCAAAAGCACCCTGAAGAGTACCAAGATGATTGGCTATATGCATAATTGTTGTAATAAATCAAAATGTAAAGACAAAAAATCATATACATTTTGTTTTTACCTGATTAATCGATGCCCGAGGCTCACTGGAGAGCCGGTACTCGTGCATAACCCAATCTGTTCGATCGCCTAAAGGGGCACGTCCCCGGTGGAAAACAAGGGTCTTACGGTAGCCAGCCACCACAGATTGACTCACAACCTTCCTATCTTTCCCCGTTGCTTTCCAATAGCCAGCCTTGGTGGCACGGTTCGTTCTCGAGCCGTTCGGGTACTTCCTATCCCTCGGGCTGAAAAAAAACCACTCCGAGTCTCGTTCAGGAAGGAACGACTTCTCTGCAAAGCAAATTCAGGGCTTCAGAAATTCCAAGCAGTGAAAAAAAAAAAGAAATCTGATTAACTTGCTAAAGGCTTTGGCTTTTACAACATTATAAAGAAATCCGTGTTCACTTTAACATAAACATGAAACTTTCTGAAATCATACCAATTCTATCACCTTGTAGACATTAATTGAACAATTCCCAGAATTTTCGACCCTCAACCTGATCAATCTAAACTCAAACTCAACATGACTGGATCAAACAATAAAGAAGAAAGTGCAGATAAGTAGTACCAGGCAACTCCCAAGGTTCAAACTTGTACAAATCGATAACAGGGATGACTTCAAGCTCGATTTCATGCCCTTGAGTTTTTCTTTCCAGGTAATATCGGATCAGTTCTTCATCTGTGGGATGAAACCGAAAACCCGGAGGAAGTGATGCCCCTCCCATTATCTCAAAATACTTATACTCTTATCTATTAGACACAATAACTTGGATAATTCAAGGAAATGGAACAAGAAAAAAAACAGAGTTAAAAAGGAGATCTCAAAGAAGTCATGGAAGTTGGGCACTAAGTTTGAAGGCTATAACTATTAAAAATCTGGAAAATCCAAAAGTAAAAACTTTTATAACTGTCAACAATGCCTTGTTTGTCAATAAACGAGTACAGTTTCAGCAAAATAGCTAATGGCAGAATCATCGTCTTTGAAATATCAACTTCTTCTTCTTCTAATGACTACTAGTTCACCCCATCAAAAATTCTATTAGTTCAAAAAAGAAATTATGGTTTTATTATAAATGAAGGGAAAACGAGAAGAAGAAGTGGAGTAGAGAGAGTAGAAATGGAGGTCCAAGGGAAGTACAATATATAGGGGTTAAAAGAAGTACTGCTGAGTCGGCGGTCTAAAAAACACACCGAAAGTTGAGGAGCTTGCTTGTGTGAAGCTTGCCACGAAATTCCACAGGCTTTGGATCCACCTACTTGAGTTGAACTCGTTCACACTTAAGTTCCATGGAACAAAAAGTAGAGAAGAAATATATTTACAATTGCAGTTGCATTTTCGATTATACTTGCGACGATTATATTTACGATAATAATGAGTGTTATTTTATTTATTACGATATTATAGTTGTATAATAATAATTTCAGATGATGTTTTTACCATTATAATTAACAAATCAATATTTAAATTCATATATTTTCAATTAACTTTTCATTTGAACCTCGATTAGAAATCAAATCTCATATTTACTCTTTACAAGGTATACGACGAAACTATAATCGACTCTTTGGCAAAGCTTCACATGGTTGAATTTTAGTTTGGGTCAGTTTAAATTTAGATTAATTTTAAATTTTTATATTTTAATCATTCCAACTTTTAAAATTTTGATCAGTTCAAATCCTAGTTATTTCTTTAAATCATTTCAAATTTATATTATTTTAGATTTAAGTCAATTATAAACATGAATCATAAGTGGTGGATATATGTTTCTACTTACCCTAAAATTTGAATTTTTTATGATAATTATATATATATATATATATATATATATATATTAATTATGTCTATTATGAAATTGTATTTATGCCCATCTTACTTATAAAAAAATTGTGTTGTTAATATATGTATGTTCAACTTTAAAAAAAAATTATAAATCCACTTTTATAAATTAAATCGTTCAAATAGGTGAAGTTTTCATTATTTCTATACCGTCATATTTAAGTTCAAATGATTTAATTTAAGTTTGAACTTACGTTTAAAATTCATGTTAATGATTGCAAGAATCAAATTATCTCAGAGAAATGATTATTATTTCTAGAGGTTTCAGATTTAAACACCAACAATTACAACATAAATGATTGGACACAGTAGGACAAGACACTAAATCCCCTAAGCAAAGTTAGAGATTCGAATCTGACCATTACAAATGGAGTAAACTAGGTTGAGAAAACCGTCCTTATCTCTACAATATTTGATCCAGATTAATCGATCAATAGATATAAAAAAATTGTAGTTAAAAACTAGAGAATTCTGATGGAGAGTAATCAAAGGAGAATTGGGTGGGGAATTTTAGTTTTCTTGGTCTAAAAGCTCCTTCCACGTCATCTTGAGTCGGAATAAACACTTTTTTGCTTTCTTTTATGTGCTTGATTATGTCATCTACACATTTTCATGGCCCACTCCTTTTACAGAAAACCAAATAATAAAATAAAAAGAAAATAACTCTCAAAAGTGTTTGCCATCCTTTTCAATTGGGTTAATGAATTATTTCTCTTTTTAAATTATATATTTTATGAAATAAACTTTAAAGTATTTTTAATTTTTAATCTCTAATATTAAATTTTATTATTATTTTGCTTTAAATAGTTAATATTCTTTAAAAATATTAGCCAATTAAAACATATTACATACTAACATTTTTGACTAAAAATAATACACGATTTTAATAAAACTTTTTTAGGACATTCAAGTTTTATTTTTTATTCAATTTATTTCATATAATTTTAAATTAATCTTAATCTATTTTAAAATTTATAATTTAGTTAATTATTTATTATTATTATTATTATTAATCTAGTCACTTGAGATCATACAAAGATCATATAAGGAAAAAGGTGAAAACTTTATCCAAAAAACTCAAACAAAAGATAGATACGAACATATTTGACTACATCGGCAAACAAACCACAATAGAGATCAAATTAATGAAAGATCACTGACAAACGTAAATCAGAGCCAAACATATTGAGATAAAGCACTATTTGGTTTTTTAATTTAACAATTTTTCTAATTTGGTACCTTAACGTTTTTGGATTTATATTAGTCTTCGAATTTGATGATTTTTCTCAACTTGGTCTCATCATGAGCTTTAGACCTTAATGAAATCCACGTCCAAGTATCAAGTTGGAAAAAACTGCAGAGTTCTAGGATTAAAGTGAACAAAAAGTAAATTAGGAATCAAGTTAAAGAAAGTTCCAAGTTTAGGGACTAAATGGTATTTCCTTTTCAATTTTTATATTGGTTTTTCTTTGGCTAAAACAAATTAAAAAGGCTACTTTGTCACTTGCAATCACCATTTATCTCAAGCTATTCAGGGTTTATATGCGCGGCCCAGCGATTGGTATATGCAAAGATTATGCAATCTTTCATTGATATGTAATTGCATCATCATGGATACATCCCACAATATATATTTACGTCTTTGACAATGCACATTCATTGTATAGATGTAGTACTCTCTCTCTCAGGATTTATTATCATTCAATTTAGTTTGTTATCAATTTTTTTAATAGAAAAAAAAGTTTGAAACATAATGAATTGTCAAGTGATCATCTTATATCTTTTAATGATCGAAAGATTCAACAAAGTAATACTATGAAATTGGAGTACGTTATATCAAATACAAATTCATAATATAGTGCGGAGATCGTGATATATGAATGGGGTTTAAGGCTTTAAGCAGCCCAAGATGATATCTTTTACAAAAATGTGAAAGAACTTTTTCTTTATATCTTTCGGGTCAAATAAGGAAATACCTTGAGTTAAAATAATTACCATGTTTTATTAAGTAATAAAGATGAACAATATGACCAACTAATCAAATATACTTATCAGTTCGTAAAACCTCGTTTGCTGTTATGTAAATTGAATTTGAATATATATAAAACATACTAGTTACATGTAGGAATCAACTAGTGCCTATGAGCTTGTCGAGATAAGCACTGGTGGAAAACTGAGCAGGCATAATGTCCATGTTCAACAATTGGGCCCCGATACAGTAACTGAATTAACAACGTTTCATTTGTGTGTTGGTGACCAAACACAAGATCTACACAGTAAAATAGTTTTGGACCATCCACGAGGTTATTGTCAACAGCTTCGCAAATGCATTGTGGCTCATTCGTCAGGGCAAGCGGTTTTTGATGGGAAAGTAATGGTCAACAGGTAACTCCTGTAGATTGCTTATCTTGCTGTCCTCTGGAACCTGGATAGTGCCTAAAATAACAGAGTTGCTGTTTTTGATCTCATCTTTTGCAGATATGCGCGACAGACGGATGCAGGGCAACTAACGAGGAGCCTACTCCTCGAGCCTCGAGCAGCTGTAAATGTGAAACCCAATCTCCAAATAATTGCTGATGATGTGAAGTGCTCTCATGGAGATGCTATAAGTGATCTAGAGGACAGCCAACTCTTCGACTTGGAGACTGCTAGGAAGGCTCTTGTAATTTCATTTGGTGCTGAGGTTGTTGACAGGCTGCCGCATTCTTTTCTCCAGAAACAAGTAAAAGATAATGTTAAAGAGTTGCTTAGCGAAGTGTGAGAATTATCTGTTTTTCGAAAAATCATTCCTTCTTTCGTACAAATTTTGTTCTTGTTCGAAATATATAGGAATAGCTGTTCTTACCGTATAAAACATTGTTGATGGATGCTTGATTGCTTTTTGAGAAAAGTTACATTTTTTTATTATTTTATTCAATCAAATCTTTTGGTTTACATATGCCAATCAAACCTTTTTTCCCAAGAGGATAAGACCAAAGTCTAAGGAGGCTAAACGATGACGTTCTCATGAAAAATAATTTATGTAATCCCACATCGGTCGTTGTATAAGACAAGTAACAATTTATAAAGAACCATGCTGCGATTATGAAGTGTGTTCGTAGAAAGGAGAGATGGTTGGCATCTCCCCTGACAGGAACGGGAACGGCCTTCGGGCTTTCCTGTTAACACATCCGGTTAAGGCTACCCACCTTCTAGGTGGATCTATAACCCATTTTTTTTTCAAATTATTATGAAAATATTCCTTAAAATAATCTCCCTCCCTATATTAAATATAGGCACAGTGAAAATAATCTAAAGTTCAACTAAATTATCATTTCGTCCCTATTCCTTTTTTTCCGAAACGTTTTTTATTTACGTTTTATTTTGGGCAAAAAGATCTCTTAGTAGATGAAAATCGTTAGTTAATTAACGATTAATCTATGAAGCCGAAACGTTTCGAATTACGTTTTATTTTGGGCAAAAAGATCTCTTAGTAGATGAAAATCGTTAGTTAATTAACAGTTAATCTATGAAGCCGAAACGTTTCGACTTACGTTTTATTTTGGGCAAAAAGATCTCTTAGTAGATGAAAATCGTTAGTTAATTAACGATTAATCTAAGAAGCTAACTTAGCATGCACGCCTTGACAAAAATACTTACGTGACTATTCACACCATCATGACATATCATTAAAAACTCATACACATAATATGCGATATTCCCTCCTTAAAAAATAAGAGAGGAAAAGTGTCTAATATTTGACTAGATAGTCACGTTGTCCCTATCTTCTTTTTTTTAAGTATTTTAAACCTCAACATTTTATTTTGAGACATAGACTCATAATGAATAAAAATCATTAGTCAACAAATGGTTAACTCATGAAGTTGTCTCAGCATGTTAAGCATGTATTATTGAATAAATGGTCAACTCATGAAAATCGTCAACAAAAATTTCATCCACTTCTCGGAGGATGAAAATCGCTAGTCAAGAAATGGTCAAAACTCATGAAGTTGACTCATATGTTATATCTCATTTAACGTATTATTACATTTATCATTTGACATAGTATTACTATGATTAATATATTAAATAGAATTAAAAAAAAACAATGGCATGTATTATTGAATAAAATTTTGACACAAACACAAGATTTTGAGCTGACATTGTTTTATTAGGGTATAAGTAGGGTTGATTGTAGGTCAGACTTGACGTTTGAGCTAACAAAGGAATTAAAAAACAATGGATGAAAGATATGAGAGGTAATTTCAAAATAGGGTTTACTATTGACAATCTTGATCATCTCAGAAATAAGAGGTAATGACATTATGCCCTGTGTCACCAAATACCAACCCCAGATAATGTGTTTCATTGCACAAGGTTTATAGTTTGTTCAAGGTACATTGTTCGCCCCACATCAAAGGAAATTTTGCAGGAAAAGAAGCATCCCGACTCAAATCCAACCTATCCTTATGTCTCTGTCTATAGCATCTGCATTGAGGGTCCCTGGAAGCTCTCTAAAAATCTTCATTGAAGATGGAATATGCACTGTAAATATCACAAGGGAAAACATAAGTTACCGTGCGAAAGAAGCATGCAGTTCGTGTTTTAGAAAAGAAATACGTTGAATTCTATGACGGTTTAGAAACTAAACAAAATCGATCACCCATGCTTAAGATACTCTCCACGAAACCCTTTGCAGAAGTGTTCAAAAAGAAGTTTATTTAATTATTCATCCTAAATTGTTGGCAGAGCCAACCACCATGGGTCATGTGACAGTTTATTTGCTAGTAATCTTCTGCTTCACATTATAAACTTGCTACTTAGTTGATAGAATCGAGAGGGTTACCTGACATCACCAGGGTTGCCGCCGTCCTAGATTCAGGAAAATTAGACAAAAGCCGGTACCGAGTATCTGACCAAATGAGAGGTAGAAGAAAATACATGAACATCTTTTGCTTATGTGTGCGTTGATACAAGCATCATAAGTTATGAGCAAATTATAACATCAGAAGTGATTCGAGCATTGCTGGCAAGTTATAACATAAGTGATACGAGCATCATAAGTTATTCTCTAAATCCTTTTAAAAATATTACGAAGATATATCGAAAACAATTACTTTCATTTACTTCCAACACGTTGATACCCATTTCAATACACTGAAAATAATATAATATTCTAATATAAGAATAATAAGATAACCAAATGATAACAACGAAACGCTTTATTTTTGTGCCAGCATTCCTCAACTGTGTAGGAGATAAAAAGAAACCGGATAAGAGAATTTGCACATACAACCCCAATTCCACAAGAAAAGGAGGATACTTTCAACATTCATAAACAGTCGTATCGAAGTGACAAAAGGCAACTTACATATAACGGTCCAAGATCCCATTTATGAACAATAGGTGCCAGTATAAACCACAAAATGACAAGAGCCCACGCCTTAAGACTAAGGGAAAATATTGCCATCAAAATGATATCTATAAAAGGACATATAAGAGAAGGTCAAGAAGTGAAAATGGTAAATATAAAAACAACTCGATTCAAGTTGATTCTCACCAGGAAGCTTCGATCTATTGCGTAAAAATGTGTAAAGCTTCTTCTTCCATCGGCTTGTTGACTGTGGAAGCTGAAATTTCTGTTCAAGCATGGAGGAAAAAAGTAAACTATCAATAAAAATTATTGGTTCATCAACCTGCCATCCAAGCTCAGGTTAAAGACGGTATTAATTCAACCATACCAAATCTTTATCATCGTCATCATTATTGAGTCCAACTGGTGCCTTCGGCTTGACAGCAACAATAAGGGAATCTAGAAAATTAGTACATAGCACCTATATATCAATAGCAGAACACTAACATGGACCATCAAAAAGAAATTTACAGAGCCGTTGGACATTAGGAACAACAATAAAGGTGATCCTATTCCCATATGTAATGGGGTAAGGGGGAGGTAGGGTAGTAAGCTGCCCCCAACACTAGGTAAAGAGCAACTTCCGAGGAAAACCTCCAGCAATTATAAATTGTCCACCGTGGGACTCGATCCCACGACCACAAGATTCAGAACCTTGCGCTCTACCAACTGAGCTGGACAGGCAATCCACATTAGGAACAACAATAAAGAGTTGAAATAGGCATGAAGGGAGTTGCATCATTCACCAACACTGGACAATAAAACTGGTTTTTTAATATAAAAATAAGGGGACTTACGATGAGTCTAATTCCTTCGTTATTTCATCCACACTACTAATGATAAATGTAAGCAGCGAAAGCAAACTACTGCATAATTATTTTTTCAACTAAAGGCAAGATCTATACCACCATCATTGAGTCGAGTGTAAACATCATCTTCATCTTCAAGATCATGCAATACCTTCCCTTGCAAGATAAGCTTCAAATTCTCTACTGGTAAATGATTCTTTCGAGCTACCAATTTTCTCAAATCAATACCTTCGTTATTTCATCCACACTACTAATGATAAATGTAAGCAGCGAAAGCAAACTACTGCATAATTATTTTTTCAACTAAAGGCAAGATCTATACCACCATCATTGAGTCGAGTGTAAACATCATCTTCATCTTCAAGATCATGCAATACCTTCCCTTGCAAGATAAGCTTCAAATTCTCTACTGGTAAATGATTCTTTCGAGCTACCAATTTTCTCAAATCAATAACCTACTTGATAGAAATACAAAATCATAATGATTTATATACATACAAGGATACTTCATATTTAATCAAGTTTATTTTCTTAACACAATGGCACTTAAAAATAATCAAGGAGTGGTACCTAAAAGCCACCAAAGAAGCAAATTGACACTTCATTATAGATTGAAGCAAAGAAATCACATTGGAACATACGATACACAAAGTAACAAATACAACCAAATACTGTTTAGGCTCCATGAACCTTAGAGTAGAGGTCCACTATCGGAATAGGGGCCGTTATATAGTGGCAAAGGTGCCGTCCGAAACAGTTATTACACAACCATACCCACAATGACTGCAAAGCAACCGAAAACATGGCTGCAACCGTAATTTAAATTTAAATCCCCGAGTCTAAGGTGCATCAGAGGCACAGCCACAGTAACCCAAAATACATGGGGAAACTTGAAAAGTTGTTTTCCATTCTATAAGTATACATTGTAGGATTATAATTATATAAACAAACTTCAAGAATTATGAGCAAAGATCAAAGGCTTCAATGGTTCAACCATAGAAATTGCTCAATTTGACTTAAAAGTAAAGATCTGTAAACAAAAGGTCATATTTTTAAGTCATAAGATTGAAACCAAAACAACATGCAAAGAGATAACCGTGAAAACAGAAGGTAGATCATAGATGAAGGTAATTTGATGAAAGAAGGGGCATGAAGGCGAGAAGGACGAGCAGGGCCGATGGTTTTGACTGTAATTTCTACAATATTTTCATGATTTCCATTGGTTTGATCCACAATGTCATCTTCCATTCTCGTATGATTAGCTGATCTGATGGGTATGAATGAGTTTAACAGGTTTCGTTAATTTGTTGGAAGAAAAGGTTAAAGACCCAAGTTTTTGGCTGAGGCGCCAAGCTTTGGCCTTTTTTCCCAATAGCTTTTTTCAAAGAGCTTCCCGATTGGGAATTTTCTCGCCTCTGAGGTGGAAGACGAAAGCTTGAAACTTTCCCAAACACTGGATCAGCCCATGAACTACACCCACCCTACCGCTTCATAATCACGGGTTTGCGGACCCAACTCGTTGAAGTGTGTGGTTGGACAAGAAATTTTATTTTTTTCATC